ACCTGAAACACTGTGGCTCCTGAACCAAACATTTAATTTACTGAATTCCCTGTTATGGATATGGATTCCTTTCTTATGTCACAAGATCAAGCATATACCGGAAGTTTTATTCAAAGACAATGGCCATGTGAGTAGCAATAACAAAATCTACAGAATCAAGATCTCCCATTGCAAAATATCACTTATCCATTGGCACTCAGATTTTTGACAGAATAGTCTAGTTATATAACAGCAATTGCAAACCACCAAGAGGAGGAAGACAATTAAAGAGGTCCTTCATTTTGTGGAGGTGAATATTTTCAGGGCCTGATTCAGAGCTCATTAACACCAATGGGAGTCTTTCCGTTGACTTCAGTGTGCATTGGATCCAATCCCTCTCAGACCTGGTCTACACTAGGGGGGAGGATCGACCTAAGATATGCAACTTCAGCTACGAGAATAGCGAAGTCGACGTATTTAGGTCTACTTAACGCGGCATGTGCATGGCGCTGAGTCGACTGCTGCCGCTCCCACGTCAACTCCGCTTGTGCCTCGCGCGGCGGGGGAATACCGGAGTAGATGGGAGAGCGCTCGGGGATCGATTTTATTGTGTCTACACTAGATGCGATAAATCGATCCCCAATAGATCGATCACTACCCGCCCATCCGTTAGGAAAAATGTGAATGTTTCCAAGCACTGAGGTGAACCCTATGATAGGTTAGATGTTTACTACCATGTCCATGGGCTTTGAAAGACTCCTGAAATTACCCATATTAGGATTCATAGATTCATAGATTCTAGGACTGGAAGGGACCTCGAGAGGTCATCGAGTCCAGTCCCCTGCCCGCATGGCAGGACCAAATACTGTCTAGACCATCCCTGATAGACATTTATCTAACCTACTCTTAAATATCTCCAGAGATGGAGATTCCACAATCTCCCTAGGCAATTTATTCCAGTGTTTAACCACTCTGACAGTTAGGAACTTTTTCCTAATGTCCAACCTAAACCTTCCTTGCTGCAGTTTAAGCCCATTGCTTCTTGTTCTATCCTTAGAGGCTAAGGTGAACAAGTTTTCTCCCTCCTCCTTATGACACCCTTTTAGATACCTGAAAACTGCTATCATGTTCCCTCTCAGTCTTCTCTTTTCCAAACTAAACAAACCCAATTCTTTCAGCCTTCCTTCATAGGTCATGTTCTCAAGACCTTTAATCATTCCTGTTGCTCTTCTCTGGACCCTTTCCAATTTCTCCACATCTTTCTTGAAATGCGGTGCCCAGAACTGGACACAATACTCCAGCTGAGGCCTAACCAGAGCAGAGTAGAGCGGAAGAATGACTTCTCGTGTCTTGCTCACAACACACCTGTTAATACATCCCAGAATCATGTTTGCTTTTTTTGCAACAGCATCACACTGTTGACTCATATTTAGCTTGTGGTCCACTATAACCCCTAGATCCCTTTCTGCCGTACTCCTTCCTAGACAGTCTCTTTCCATTCTGTATGTGTGAAACTGATTTTTTCTTCCTAAGTGGAGCACTTTGCATTTGTCTTTGTTAAACTTCATCCTGTTTAACTCAGACCATTTCTCCAATTTGTCCAGATCATTTTGAATTATGACCCTGTCCTCCAAAGCAGTTGCAATCCCTCCCAGTTTGGTATCATCCGCAAACTTAATAAGCGTACTTTCTATGCCAATATCTAAGTCATTAATGAAGATATTGAACAGAGCCAGTCCCAAAACAGACCCCTGCGGAACCCCACTTGTTATGCCTTTCCAGCAGGATTGGGAGCCATTAATAACAACTCTCTGAGTACGGTTATCCAGACAGTTATGCACCTACCTTATAGTAGCCCCATCTAAATTGTATTTGCCTAGTTTATCGATAAGACTATCAGGCGAGACCGTATCAAATGCCTTACTAAAGTCTAGGTATACCACATCCACAGCTTCTCCCTTATCCGCAAGACTCGTTATCCTATCAAAGAAAGCTATCAGATTGGTTTGACACGATTTGTTCTTTACAAATCCATGCTGGCTATTCCCTATCACCTTACCACCTTCCAAGTGTTTTCAGATGATTTTCTTAATTACTTGCTCCATTATCTTCCCTGGCACAGAAGTTAAACTAACTAGTCTGTAGTTTCCTGGGTTGTTTTTATTTCCCTTTTTATAGATGGGCACTATATTTGCCCTTTTCCAGTCTTCTGGAATCTCTCCCGTCTCCCACGGAATCTCTCCCGTCTCCCACGGATGGGAGGGAGGACACAGATGCACCCAAGAGCATTAACATAGCAATATTTTCTGGAAACCAGCATGGCCCCCAGGCACTCTACTGTTATGTTAACACTTTGTCAGTCCCATAAAGCACTTACGCACATGCTTAACTTTTAACATGCGAGTAGTTTGAGGCTTCATAAATGCTTTGGTGTCCAGTCATTAACAATCTACCTGCTGTACACTTCAAAATGTTTCAAAAAATGTTATTTTGAAGTTACTGTAGCAGCTAGGTCTAGGAGTATTGAGTCACACTTTTTTGTTTGTTTAATGGTAGATCTTTTGTTATTAGAATAGCTACTTCTACATACCGGTGAAGTTTCTGTGTGACCTGGTGCCTGGGATAGAGAACACTGAGAATGCCACACTCAGGGCAGACTGCAAGAAATAGGGCATACATCCCCAAAACTGGTGGTTTACTCTATAATTAGGGTCACCAAACCCATAACGAAAGAGCTTCTGCAGTGCCACACTGGTTAAACAGAAGCCAAACACAGTCCTCTTTAGGCATTCCAGCCCTTGGCTCCCATCCAGATGACCCAATCTAATATAGTAATATAGAACCCATTTCACCAGGTTCTTACTGATCCCAAAGGATCAGACACTTACCCCAGATCAGTATATATTTCAGATTTTATCAAATATCACACTGTTAGCCAATCCTTAGTAAACTAACTAAAGATTTATTAATAAAAGAAAAGAAGAGAGTTATAAATGGTTAATAGGTCATATACATACAAATGGTTACCAAGTCCTTGTATCAGATTTGTAGCAGTGATGGAATAGACTGCTGATTTGCAAAAATCTCTCTGCTAACTTCCCCAGAAGATTGTAAAATCCTCAGTTCATAGTTCAAGATGCTTCTTTTAGCTGTAAATCCATAGTCCAGAGAATTAGAGCAAGAAAGAGGCAAAATGGAGATGTCTCAGGTGTCTTTTATATCCTCTATCATGTGCCTGGAAATATACTGTCCCAAACAAAGCCCACAGCCCAGGTGCCTGGGAAGTTACTGGCCCAACATGGTTTGCTGAATTGCAGGGAGTGGCCATTGAACCCCTGCCTGTTTGAGGCATCCTCAGGAAGAGATATCTGGATAGGATGAGTTTCTTCAATGGCCCATTATGAGATTGGCGTGTCCTTGATGTGCCATCAACACATAGCTGTCTAGCCCTAATGTAAATTCTATCTGGGGTGTATCAGCCAGGAACAAACATGTTTTAGAAACAAGTACGTTGCCAATATTCATAACTTCAAATACAAAGATGACACATGCATATAAACAAGATAATCATACTTAGCAAATCATAACTTTTCCATTGATACCTTACATATTCTGTGCAAGATTTGTTGCAGTTGTAGAACAGTGGTAATATCAAAGCTATAAATGGTCATCTTTAATCACACAGCATCACATCCTGACTCTGCAATTCCGATACTTCTAGCTATTTTGAATATTGAAGTAGCTACTGGCGTCTGCTCCTGCTCCCAAGGACAGTGACTATTTTGACTTCAATGGAGGCAAGCCTGGGCATTACTTTATGATCACCTGGGTGTGGAGCTACTTGGGACTGGCACATGCCAAAGTTCTAAATTCATACAGTGTTTCTTCGATCTCTGCAGTGAGACTCCCACTGGTGGCCCATTTTCTTGGCCTATTGTACCACATATTACTGTATGCTTCCTATACCTGAAATAAGCAACCTTGGGAAATGTATGTCTTAGAGTTGATAGAATTATTGTTAGCTATATAGTACTTTTATTCTGCTGGGTAGAGAAGCCAAGTAAGTCATCCTCCAGTAAACCCAGGTTTATTCCCATCCGTAAGGCAAGTTACATTACTTTTTACCTTTTTACAGTAAAATCTCTGTCAAGTTTGAGTGGACCTTGCATTCTCCTCTGCCCACTTGTTGAGCCCAGATACTATTGGGAGAAGTCCCCTGCCCTCTTTCTGCTGTCTGCATAAAGACCGTCCCCATTCTCATCTTTATGTTTTGTCAGCCTTTGAGTCATTATGGAATAGTCCAGTGGTTTCAGGAATCCTAGGAAGAGAAATAGGGAAAGATACATTTGAGAAATTGTCAGAATTCTTTCTTCCCTCAGAGCATGTCTGCCAGTAATACTACACACAGAATGGGGCTTCAATGTACCGTACTTTCTATTTTAAGAATTTAATTTGAATGGTCACCTGTCATCTTGAAGGTAGTTATTGTGAAGTATTACTTCAACACTTCCCTGGATGTCACCCATTGCCTTTACTGACATGCATCTTTGATATACAAGATGTCCCCGACTAAGTCAATGTCATCAAGGAATAAAATTCATTTTGTATTTGGTAGAGGTCTGTGTTATTGTTTTGTGTAATGCACCTGGGGCATGTAAGGCATGTATGGAATTAAATAAATTAATATAAATAAATAAGCAACAGAGGGGATATTTTAAAAGGTAAATAATATATACAAAATCTACTCCCATTAAAAATCCAATAATTGACTGTGTTACAAGGTGGAAATCATAAAATATGAGAGAACAAATAATGAAGTAAGAATGAAAGAAAATGATGCTTATTAAAATGATTTTTATAGATAATATTGTAAGGGGAGAACTCAAATGAACAGCTTACTTTTTACACAGATGTTATTAAGAAAAACACTCCTAATAATGGTTTATAGCTTTTACTTACAATAACTTCAGAGCATAATAGCTTCCACAAGCAAGTTAAAACACATTTTGTTCTGTTTCTAGATCTATTAGCTGTGCCTAAGCATCCATATGCTGCTATGGAGAACTGGGGACTAAGTGTTTTTGTGGAGCAAAGAATACTGCTAGATCCAAGCATTTCTTCTATATCCTACTTACTGGATGTCACCATGGTTATTGTACATGAACTATGCCACCAGGTATGAGACATGCAACCAGTTATGAGAACTTGGTACAAGCTTGAGAGATCAAATGTATTCTGTTTTTCAAAGCTGATATTCTTACACACATAATTGCACACATTTGTTATAGCTGTATTGAAAATAACTTGGAGACCTCTAAGATATGTCACTAAAATGCAGAAATCCAGAAAAATCAGATACAATGCAAAAGAGCAAATGAGTGGGAATGAATAAACTTTCTAATGTTGAGTTTAGGTTGTGAATGCTGCCACCCACTAGCCTCCCTGCATTCTGTGTTCAACCAATATTGTAGCAAACTTGTCCCTTTCCTCTGATTATTATGATGGTGCTGTGTGTGTATATATATATATGGTAAGTACATTGATAGCCATATAAAATGATTTATTACAGCACTGTAGCAGATTTAGGTTGAGTTGATGTTCATGTCAAAATTTGCTTTGGCTGAAATCATTTTGATAGTCCCCTTTTCCCAACACACACATACTTAAGAAGCAGTATTTTTTTATTCTGCCACTGACCCTCTTTCACAAATGATGGATATTTTGTCTCTGTGTGTATTGAAACTCTCGTATAAATTAGGAAACTTGGCAATAAACCCATATTACAATTTATTTAGCATTTCTCTTTTCCATCTTCTTATCTCGAACTAAGCACATTACGAGTGTTCAGTAATATTGAGTTGCATGCAAATGTTATTAAAGAACTGTGCTACAGGGACAGGAAACCCTTTCTTGCTCTGGTAACAGGCATAATAATAGCCTCTGGGTTAAAATGAATGAAATCCTACTGTGTAATCAGCGTGGCTTACATCTGTGACTTTACATAGGATCTTTTAAAAAGCAATGCACATTCTTAGTACTTTTTCAAAATAAAAAATAACATTGAAATAGTAACTTTCTAATGCGTATTCTGATAGGTAAACCTGGAAATTATAATGTTTAATTCATATTCATGTTTCACATTGAAAGTGTAGGTAAAAATTGAGTCCTCAACTAAAACATGATATGCTTCTTGGAGCTTGTTGCTGATATAATCTCAGTATGATCCTTTACTTTGTAACAAATTCTTTATTAGATAGTACAGTAAAGCAGTAGACAATAGAGTGTAAAAATCATAGAACCTTAGAAATTAGGGATAGAAAATACATATCGGGTCATCTAGACTATCACATCTGTTAGTATAGGATCCCTCTCAATGGTACATTTTCTAATGATTTTTCTAGTATTGTTTTAAATGTTTGAAATTATAGAGTTCCCATCGCTGCCCTTGGATACTAGTCTGCAATTCAATAAATCTCAGTGTTGTAAGTTATTCCCGTATAGTTAGCTTAAATTTTCCTTTTTCTTAAATTCTTCTAATTACTTCTAGTTTTCCCTTGTGCCACTTTAGATAGTTTGCTCTCTTTCCAAGCTGATCCATACTTAAAATGTTTGTGGTAAATTATCACATCAACAATTTGCTAAGTTTATTGGCCTGATTCTCATTTACACTAATGCCAGCGGGGTGAAAACTGCATTTGTTTACTTTAAGGCCCGCTTACATTGCCAGAGTGCGGTGAAGATGGCCTTAGTGTAAATGAGAACGAGCCTCTATATGTATTTAGCTCTTTTACTCTTTCCTTATAAGTCTTTCCCTCCAGCCCACATCATTGCTTGTTGTTTTATTATAGTGGTGCCCAGAGACACCATTGTACAAACACACAATAAGAGAGAGAGTTTCCTGCCCCAAAGAGTTTACAGTATAAATAGACAAAACAGAAAAAAGGAAGTATTATTTCTGTTCTGTATTTGAGTAACTGAGGCACAGAGAGTATGATTTGCCTAAATTCAGTGCCTTAACCATAAGACCATCTGTTCTCAGACTATTTATTCTACCATTTTTATTCAGCAGCTTCATTTTGGTTTTATCTTAGTGTAATCCTTCTGCCAGGTGGAGGCAGCAGCAGCAAGCGCTGAGTTCAATAGATAAGGGTTTCTCTTTACAATACAAAACAGAACTGGACTGTGTTCCCACCCTGTAATCTGGGAAAACTCACCACCACCCTGGAGTGACTCTAAGAGGTGATACTTTCCCAGTCACAAGCATTGACTCAGTGTATAATAAAAGGAAATGTTTTTTAAAAAGGGAAAGGGAACCCAGCATTAATTTGGGAAAACACCACTACCAGATTCAAAAGCATGAAAACTTAAGCAAACATGCACTCCACATTATGTTGGTCAGTGTCCTCTGCCTAAGTTTCCCACCTTGCGGTGTGAAAGTCTGAACAAATGTCCCTTTCACACGCCACTCCTCTCTTTTCCTTCACTGCACCACACTCACAGTTGGTTGAGAGTTCAGAGGTGCATTCACATGAGTCCACCTTCCAACCCTGCAAAAGGGGACACGAACTGCCGCTGTTATCTCTGCCACCAGTGGCTGATTGCTACCACCTCTGTTGCTATCTCTGCCAGAACACATCTCTGCCACTACTATCATTGCTGCTGCGTGCCTCTCACTGCCTCCTTTGCAGTGCCGTGTTCGGAGGTCCCCCCACTTAACCGAGCTCTTAGTGATTTCACTGGGTAACAGGAAACTTCTGTTCTGCTGCCTCTTCATTTTTCCCCCCACTGAAACACTGTCACCAGTGATTTCAGCTCTGGTAATCACTGAACAGAAAGAAGGACTCTGAATTGTATCCCATCAGCTCACCTTTAAACACTGGAGAGGGATGGGTCAAATGGTGTTTAGGACTCTTTAGGCAGCATCCACACCAATAGGTGGGAACACTCATACCCATCCCTTCTCATCTTCAGTGAGATCTCTTCCCCCTCCTTAACAAGTGAGGTTCAGTTTAGAGTGACCCCCTCAGTCAGGGCATGCTAAGTATAGTTCTGCTGCTCTTAGTTATACAATAAGGATAACATTTCATTACCCCTGCATTCAGTGCTAAAGTGAATTGTAATCCAAAACCAGCCAAAACTGACCACTTTGGCAAAGCATGTCTGTCTGCTGAACACCTAGGCAGAGTAGGTGTGTCTATGCAATAAGATCTGCTCCTAAAGTCTTTTCCCCCAGTGCATCACTAGATGTCAGAGGAGAGCTCATTCAGACCTGCTTATATTAGTATATTCTTAGGCCCCGCAGAGCACTCTACACAGCTCAAGATGGCACACAGTCGACGCAGAAGCTGCAAAATACCCTTTGGCCTGCATGAAGGCATTCTTCAACTGAGTGCTGTTAATAATTGATTGCATTTCAGAGTTTTTATTTTGAGTTAGTTCTCATCCCCATTTTGCAGATAGGATACCTGAGAGGAAGCACAACCTTACCTCTGGCAGACATAGTAAAAGCCACATCTCTGACGTGGCAGACATAAGTCTCATCCACTTAGCCACTTTGCCTTACAGAGTGGATGTGCCAGATCTGTGTGCTTGGCTGTGCCGTTTATAGCTACTAGACCACACTCACCCCCAGAAGTAGGAATCCTGATCCCCAGCGTTCAAAATATTTTTCTACCTCTTAGGTAAGCCACTGGGAAAGTAAGCTCTATGTCATCCTCTAATGGCTGGGTTGCATAGAGGTTAACAAACCATTGCTGTCACCAGATTTGTGCTTCAGAGCTAAAGAGCCTGTGTTAAAATCCTGCTGATAACCTACACTGAAAGGTGGCAGGGGTAAAGATGAGGGTAGTTTTCTGTTTTCAAAAAGCTAAGCAAATGCATTTAAAAAAAATCTCTTAAAAGAATGTGAAGATTACAAAACTAAGCACTCAAAAATTAGGAAATGCTCGCATTAAAATTGTCTAAGCAACCTTAGTTGGGTCCTCTTGTGCGTTTATACACATCTTTAATTATGTGTCCTCACACTGTGCTGTCCTACAGGACCCCGACGTCATTCAGTTTTGGGGATGGACAGTGAATTGAGGCAGAGGGTTTTAAAAAGAAAAATGTTTCCTTGTGTTTAGGGCACTGGACTGTGATCCAGGAGAATTCACTCTATTTCTCTGCTCTGCCATTGGCTTCTGTGTGTTGCTTGGCAAAACTGTCATAATACGTATGCATTAGGGGAGCTGATTAAGATTCCATGGGTAACTTCAAATCTGGCATTTCCTAACTTTTGATTGTTTGACATTTCAAACTTACTGTTCTTTTAACATATTTTTGTATATAATTAAATAAATACTTAACAACAAGTGGAAAAATACAGAATGTTTCCACACAAAAGCATCTGCTCCGGATCCAAATAAATCCATCATCTGAGAAAGAATCATACTGATCACAGGTCATGAACAGGAAAATAATCAATAGCACAGATATTGATATCAACTTAAGTTATTTGCCCACCATCACATACAAATATAATATTATTAAAGAAGTTCAAGCAGGGTAGGTGATCCATAATATTTAAATGTTACAGATCGATCAGAACTGCACCCTTTATATAGAAGAAAATCAGTTGAATTCAAGAAATGTAATATCTGATGACAATTGATCAAAATGATCAAATACAAAACAGAATATAATAACTGAATAATTTAAACAGAAACATGTATCACAGGAAGGAAAGCAAAAAATAAAATCCCCAAACCACTGTGAATGTTCAATAATAAAGGAAAAAGAGAAAAGAAGGTATGCTTCCAGTACACATGTAAGAAGTACTTCCCCACCCTTATTAAATATATCCTCAGCACTTTTCTTATCTCAACCAGTACATACTAATCTTTTCCTCCAAAAGCCCCACAAATAATATTCTTCATTCAATTCAAGCAGTGGCAATATTCTAATAAAAAATTAAATTGCCTCCCTCTGATTAAATCTCATTCTATCTTTGTTTCTCCTCCTCATTTCAATTTAAAAATCTGTTCAGTACCCACAAGCTGTAGGATGCTAATAGGATAATGTTTTCTTGTCAGACATCTAACAACTGGAAAAGTAATATCATCTTCCTGCATTTGTGTTTATTAATTGGTGTTTTTAGAGGTCTAGCAATCTTTCTGACATTTGACAATCCACAAGAATGTTTAAGAAAATACACTGTGATTCATATAAATATAACATGCTATTTTCATACCTATAGAAATATTTCTTTATTGGATGATCAAAACTGAGTACCTGTAATCCTGTTATTGCAATTATTACTTGATAAACAGGAAAAACTCCCAGGAGTAAGATTGGGTAAAAAATGAGATGCTATATCATGATTAATAATATTTTGAATATATTAGAAAATATGTTTCTGCTTTATATATACTTTTACTTTTACTTTATATATACTTTAATCTAATCTAATCTAAGCAATAACATCCCAATGTTTCTAAAATTTCATTAATCCTTTCTGAATTATAAGAAAATGTGTTAACAAATGGTATTTCAGTATTACAACTTTAACCCTAGGGTTTTTTAAACACAATCTCCTTGCCTAGTTCTAATACTTGTTTCGTATTTGCTGAATAGTCTTATCATAACCCATAAATATAAACCTATCACACATTATTTCATCCTTTTTCATCATAAATTATTTGTGGTCAAAATATATTCCCTTAACTCTCCACAGTTTGGGAGTATGTTATGTGTGCATATGGATTTCCAGTGTGTTTTTTATCTATCTTTTAAATTGTAAGTTCTTTTGGACAGGGACTGCCTTATTGGTCTTGTAGAGAGCTAAGCATATTGTTGGCATTTATGTAAATAATAACAAGAGTCATCGATCAGTGGGTTTCCGTTAACTGTTCTCTTAATTTCACTCTCAGTTGGCATAAAAAGTATCATCAAGATCACTTTTGTCAACCCCATCTGCAGTTCTCTTCCTAGATCTTCATTACATTTATCTTCACTCATTCAGGTACTAGCACTTGGCTGCTGAAGCCCAATACTGCCAATCTGATAATGTTAACCTGTCTTTGGTATGCACTTTGGTACTGCCTCCCTTGTTCACTGCACCCACAATCTCCAGTCACAGCACTTATACCTGTCTCTATTCCACCATCATTCCTTTTTCATGAATAGTGATGCACAAATGTAAGGTAGCTCATTCATATCCCAGTGAGAGTTTCCAAACAAACCCATAGTTATGGGAGCAAATAGATCACTGCCCAATTCTTTTTTTTTTTTCATACACTCACCATTCTAATTGCAGCATCAGTAGCTGATTCTGTAATCTCACATGAATCATTCTCTCTCTAGAATATCCATTTGCTGTTCTGTCTCTGTTTATTTTAATAGTTTGTGACCACATGCAAAGTTCAAAATTATCTCATGTTAGCTTCACCTCATTTTCTAATTGCATAAAAAAACTACCAGTGATGTTTACAGATACAGACTTTGGTTATTCATTCAGAAAAAAAAATACTTCAGAGACATTGAGATATATTTTCAAAGTAGTGCACAATGATTTACTCATTCAACTCCCATTAACATCAGTGGGTATCACACAGTCAAATACTCATGCACCATTGTAAAAATGGGCTCCCAATGTTATTCCACCGAACAAACTTCATCTGAATAGACCGTCCTTACAGAAAGCGAAAAAGGCTAAAACTTGGGAGATCTAGGTTCTGTTCCTAATTTTCCAGAGACATCTTGTACAACCTACTACAAGACACTTAATGTTCCTCATCTGATACTTACCTAACTCACAGGTAAAGCTTAATTCATTGGTATTTTGTAAAACATTTAGAGATCTTTGTACGGAAAGTGTGATATAAATGTAAAATATTGTCATTGTTATTAATAATAAACCTAGTAATGGTGTTTTGTGTACAAATCACACATATATAAACAACATTTTATGTTGTTTGATTGGACTTTCCTTGTAGTGGTTTGGTGACCTTGTGACTCCAGTATGGTGGGAAGATGTATGGCTAAAAGAAGGTTTTGCTCACTATTTTGAATTTGTTGGGACAGACTACCTCTACCCAGGCTGGAATATGGTAAGTTCATGTTATTTCATTAGTTTGGAAACTCCACTGAGAGGTTGTTTTCCTGTTATACTCCTGCTTATGTTACAGTCAGGGTCTGCTGAAGAATACCAAATGGTGCGAGCAAGTATCAGATGTCCAATAAAGCAAAATCAGTGGGTGTGAAATCATTTGACAGCATTCCAAGAGTGTAATCTGCCATTTATTACAAAATGAATAAGGTCTTGTGTATCATTACCAAATGTTAAAATAACTGCCACTTTTCCATTCAAAGACATTTCATACTAGGGTAGTAGTGATTGAACACCAACCATTTCTGAAAACTATATATTAATGAAAGATCTCGATAGTGTTTTCTGAGGTTCTCAGAACATTGCATTTTTAGTTATAACAATATAAATAGAGAAGGAAGATTCAGGTAAGCCATACAATGAAACTGCATATATTACTGCAATATTATGCTTTTTTCTAAATTATCTGTTATGGTATTGTTATTTTGGGCATCTAGCATTCTATATTAATCTATATACTGAGGGCTGTGGAGCATAGTTTGTCATATGCAGTCATATAGCTGTAGTTATAGGATCAACTTCTGTCTTCTGAAACGTGTGCAGCAATCATTGGCCCACTGGTGAAAGAGCCAGGAAGTACAAGTTGGGTCATCCCTTTTGAGTCCCTCTGTTTGCAGATCAAGTGCCTAGGTCATTCCCACTTATATCTTATTTTATTCTTGAATATCAGAAGGTGTAATACCTTGACCACTTAAATGGTAAGGAAAGATAAAAGTTAGTGAGAGTTACAAGCATAAAAAAGATACCTTCCTTGTGAGCATGTCCAGGGTATCTGTTTATTTTGTTATGTCCCAAGAATGAATTATTTTATTCTTTGTAAACTTGCCTCTCTTTTGAGCTGATAGTATTAGGTATCATTATGTGACAGTTTTTTATATATATACACCTTGTAGGATAAAGATTTTCAAACTTAGATTTAGTAATTTGAATGTTTTCATTAAACTCATGCACATTAACTTCTGAAATTGTTTTGCCACTTCTTGAATTTAGCTCCATAGCTTTAGTCCACTCATTTTTTGTGAAGTAAATCCAAGATGTAATAATTAAGAATTAAATAAACTACAAACTCTTAAATAATTGTACAAGGGAACTCTTTGGGTTTAGGGACATTTCTGTTTGAAGTCTGATTTCTTTATTCTGTGCCATGTTTAATTTGTTTTGGTGTAACGTTTCTGATTTATAATTGCATTATGAAAAAAAGCAAAATAAATCTATACCTGAACTGACATCTGCCTCACATAGGTAAGCTTGTTGGGTTCACCTAGCTTTGGGTGTAATAAAACTCATTCTCTTCCTCTTTTTGAAGAACACATATTGAATTACAATATAATCAGTCTAATTATAAATGCAATGGAATCTGGCAGCTCTTGATGATTTTAGCAGAGGGAAATGTCATAGACTACAATGTTCATACACTGGTTTTTATCTTTGAATCATCATAGTCATTTGTTCGCCACATAATCTCTTTAACAAATCCAGAATAACTTTGCTTTAGAAGTCATCTTGAATGGAGAATATTTTTTGAGAATTCCTGTGGAGTGAATGTAATGTTCAGTGTTATGCAAATGACATACTGGAGAACCAAAAGGCATGTGGGTTGAACAAAGTATGACAGTTAAACCTTGGAAATCAGAAACATGCAGTGCATGAATTAGAATTAATAACAGCAAAATGGCTGTGCCTGGAAAATATCTATCTGTCAAGTTATTTTAAATGAAAAAGGAGAGTTGACATAAACTTTTCATGAGGCTTCTGATATCATTAGCCTTAGATACCAAAATAACCATACTGACATCTAAATAGTTAGAAAACTGGTGGCAAGATAGAACACATGACAAGTTAAACAGTACAGCATCCTACTGTGGTGTTTTTTACAGACTACAGTGGGAATTAATAATTTGATGTTTCATTCTTTTTATAAAGATGGTAGGACTAACAAGCAAAAGTTGGCTACAGCTATCAGATTTTGGCATTCTGGTTATTTTTTTGTTATCAGTGAAGAGTACATGTGCTACTAAGATTATTCTGACATCTAAAAAGACTAAGCAACAAATAGAAGCAATTAGCAAAAGAAAAACTACTCCAAACAACTCCATTTATTCAAAAGTGAAGGAGTACACATTACAAGCTACATGAAATCAGTTGTAACACCAAGAACCTTTAGCACTATTTTTCATAATGATGTTACTTAAATAGCCAGAGCAACAACATAGGCGGCTGCATACTGCTGCATCAACAGTATTTCAGACCTGTGAAATACGCATAAAAGATTCCACTGAATATGATCACGCAAGGCTTTGAGAGTGATTTGCATCAGCAAAGCCAAAAATAATATAATAAAATCCAATCTCTTCCCAAAGAATGGGGAAAGGTAGAAAGTTGACCTGCTTTTACAATTTTAAAATTTTACTCTTGTAATCCTCCTCTGATCCTCAAACCTTGGGGATTGAAGTATCAAATACTACTCCCTTCCAGTTTGTTACAGAATATGCTATCATATCTCTTTTTGGACTGGTCTAGGCACCAATAAAAGACTAAGGCTGGTACATTTTGTTAAGATAGCCTTAGCAATGGTATGCATTAACACTCTCTACTGCTTAGCCCTCAGTTAACATAGGAAAACAAAGAATTTTTATAGGAAATAACTTACACTTTTTAAATTTACAATTAGTAGCCAATTTCTAATACGACTTGTCATCCCAGGGGTTAAAAACAGGGAACCAAATCAATCTTCCAGTGCTGCCATATTTCCTGTCTATCTTATAAAGCTTTTCAAGCAGAAGCCTTCTCCTACTTATATGTTTGCAAAGATACCTCAAAATGAAATGATGCCTGAGACATATTTCATCACCCTTCTATTAAAAATTAAAAAGTGCTAAATCAGCGCTTAAATCTTATATGTCTCTTGTAATACTAAATCATTGCTATATTTCTTGAATTCAAATGTAATTTCATCATCCCATGTATCAGATGGGCTTCAAGGCAGGAAGGTAAGTCTTAGCTTTAGGAGAAAAAAATACATTGTTGTATATCATCAGTCGTTCATGGACCAACAGCATAAAGGCTCCACCTATAAAAAATCTCTCAGTCAAGTTCCATATACAAGGTCTGAGTCCATTCCTTCACTTTTGCTTCCTTATACTTAACGGTATACAGCCATAGTCCTGCCCTACTCCTTCTCTTTCTTACTCTACTACTATCTGTCCTTCTAGACGCAAGATCAAAGAGAAGACAGATGAAAGGAAAGAAGAAGGAAACAGAATTGAAGAGGGGGAAAGGATAAGAAGATCTTGCAAAAGCAAGAAGATGGGCACAGAGCCCTTTGCTTCTTTCAGAGATCTATATGGGGAGACGCCTAAGGAGCCAGCTGGATCACCAGTCTTTATAGGCTCTGAGATTGGATTTGTCAGTCCATCTTGTTACAGACCTGGCTGAGTCCCCCTAGTTGATGGTCACCAGTCTGTAGTAATTGGCCCCAACCTGGGGATACCACATGCTTCCAAGCCAGCTGGGTCTAGGTGGAATCCAGGTGCCATTTCTAGCTCTGGGCCTCTAAGGCACTCTCCTCGGGAGCAGACCTATTTTCTGGCCCCCTTCCTTGGAACTCTACAGTCCAACTGCCCTTGTCCCTAAAACAGGTGCTTTCACATCCTAAGCCTCTCCAGCCACTTATGCATGTCCCTCTCCCTTTCCCACCTGCCCCTACCAAGCTCCACCTTGCTATGGAGTGCTTTGGTTTATAGTTTAACTCCTTGGGGACCATGTGTCAAGTAAAGTAAAGAAACAGGCTTTGTATAGGCGTTCCTAAACCTGCAGTAACTTTTACTCTCAAAGCACAGAAGAATTATAGTTCTTTAGGAAAACAACAAAACGCTCTCTGCTCTCTACCCTGATGTCTGATGATGGACTGCCATTGAGAAAAAGGGAGCCTGGAGCAGAGCCTGTCCTTAAATAAGGTTTCTTCCCCTTTTGTTCAGGTGACCAACTGCTCAGCTTTAGAACTCCCATCAGGTGGTTAGTCAGGAAGTCCCAGCCCACTTGGAGTCCAAACTGGGCAAATCAGTTTCCTTCAGCCTGGCCACTCTCTATAGCAAAATCATTGTCCTAGGGGTAGACCTCTGATTGGAAAATGGTCATAGTTAATGAGTCTTGTGTTACCCCTGCAGGGAGGTGTCAGGCATTACAACCAGCTGCTCTTGGTCTGTCCTTGACATATCTTGGCAGTTAAAATTACATAAATGGACGCAGAAATATTCCAGTCCATCACACTATTTCCCTTTCTGCCCATGGAGTGGTGCCTTTCGCATGGTTTAGAACCCATAATCCTTATAGACTGCAAGATGTATAGAAGTTTGCCTGCCTTACTGTGTCACTCCCCAACCCAATCTCCTATTGCTCTCTGGAATCAGGCAGCACAGTTCCTGTCCCCTTCTGCAGCTAGTCAGCCAGCCTACAGTAGCAGACCTCTTCCTTCTCTGCTTCCACACTGGCCCCAGTGGCTGTAGTAAATTTGAGCCACCATGTCCTTCCTGCTGAGCGCTAAACCACTCAAGACATCTAGTAGAGTGGTGAAAGCTTTCATTTCCCAGGACTGACTTCAGGCTACTCTGGATTATCTCTTTCAGGTTCTGCCTCTTCCCCATACTTTGAATTGGCCTACTCTTCACTTTCTGAGGCATGTCACATCCTGTGTGGACCTGGTCCCCTGAATAGCACTCCATCTGAGGCCTCTAAAATCCTTGCTGTTTAGCCTGGTATATTCTATCCACCCCTTTGAGGAAACTACTCTCTTCCTTGTCTCCTCCTGTACAATCTTTCTTAGTGTGGTGGGCCTACTTGCTTCACATTTATAGTGGATCTGGCTTTCCATCTTCTCCTCCCATGACTGTCACCGCAGAGGCCCTCTCTCATGCTGAAGAGTCTACCGAGAGCCTTTCTATT